AGAAAGGTGGGAAGGGCATTTCAGGGAGAAACAGTGGATGAAGGTCCAGTGGGAGCTTCAGGCTGGTTGTTAGTTCTCCAGCAGGTGGCAGGGGAGACAGGGTGGGGGTGGGGGTGTCTGGGGCTGGAGATAAGGCAAGGGCAGGCCTCCAAGCACCTGGTCTACCCTGGCCAGACACTTGGACATGCACAGCTTCCTCACCCGTGAAGAATGGCTCACAGCATCCCCTACTGATTTGCCTTTTATATCAGGGTGACTATGGGTGGGTTTCTCATAACCAGTGTCTGGAAGAGTGGTTTAGAAGCCAGTGTCCTCGGGCTGTTTCCGCTCCACCTTGCCTTGCTGGCAGACCTCTAGTTATTCACTGTTCCTCTCTGGACCCAGCTCTCTGGAAGACTTGGGGATTGGGAATCACAGTGGGCTTGGGATACCCTGCAGCTCTCAGGAGAGCTGTGGCAAAGGGCACTCGTGGTGTTGAGGACACGTGACAGATGGGACCTTATCTGTTTGCCCCTCTCAGTATCTGGGGCTTGACATCATTTAAAAAGCTGTCCTCTTTATTTGAATTGACTTAGTCTCCCTCTTAAATAATTCATATTGATTTAGGAAGCCTTATTTCTAACTAGAGCCACAAGACAGCAGAGTTAATATTAGAATGAGGCAGAAGAAGAGGGAAGTGGGGAGGAGGCTGGGAGAATGCCTTTTCCAATAACTAGTCTGACACTCAGCACCCTTTCCCCCTTTCTGGTCCTCCTCCCTGCTCTACTTACCCCTTTCCACAGCATTTACCACCCCTGACACGCTCTGTCTTGGTGTGATCAACTCTCCAGCTCTGTGTATCATTTACTGACTGTCCTGTGCCCTCTAGACACCAGCACTGCCAAGGCATACGTGGCTTTCTCTTTCATTCACTGATAAATGCCAAGTGTGGAGATCGGTGTTCAGCACATGGCAGGTGCTCAGTAAGTGTCTGTTGGTCACATCCTCCTTACTCACTTCCTCCTTGCTCCAGGTCCCCCAGCTCCTTGTTTCCCAAGTTTCCATGCAGGTGGAAAGATCAAGTTCAATGCCACCCATACAGCTCTGACCCTGGATTAATTTGGATATTTTCAACCCTGGCATTCCTGCAGGTGGGAAAAGCAGCAGTTTGCATGCATGTGTCCGACAACATGAAAGTGCACAGCACCATATTGCTTACGGTTCACAATGATTCTATGAGATTGGTATTTGTATGACCCCTATTTGATAGATGAAAAACCAGAAATTCTTCATTCATTAGAAACCCCCCAAATATTATTGAGTATAGACAAAGTACTGCTTACAAAGAGTTGAACCAAAGAGAACCAGATGCAGCCCTCAAGACCTTGCCCAAGGTCTTGTAGTTCGCAAGAGGGTATTCTACGTCCCAGTCCAGGGCTCCCTGCTACAGGACAGCTCTGCATGGGTCCTGGGACCTGTGATGTGCACCTAAGCTGAGGCTCTGCAGAGCTGGCTGGGCATGTATGAACATGGGATGCAGGGGGTCTTTGCAGGGAGGACTAGGGTGGAGGTACACAGCCACGTCCTGGGCCCCATCTCCGGGCCTCCAAGTGCAATGCTGTCTAAATCCCCCTCACCACCTCCCTGTGCCTCAGTCACCACACAGGTTTTGGTTCTGGTGGGGGATGGCCTAATGTCCTGAAATAGTTGGTACAGTACACTGCGTGCCTTGCAGTGAAAGGCATGTCCTTTTGGGGGCTGGACGATTTTTAGTGATCCTCTTATTTATCACCATCCTGCATTTTAGGGATGAGGAAACTGGGACCCAGAAGGCTGAGAAACAGGGCCAAGGCCACATAGCTGGTCCGTGGAAGAATCGAGCCCATTACCTCTAAGTCTGTTTCTCTTTTCATGATGTCACAATTCCTGAGATGTTCTGCGGTGGGAAAAAGATGCCTGCCATGAGCTGGGCTGAGTCAAGGCCTGGTGCTTGGCAGCTGGGTGGGCTACAGGGGGAGTGCAGGCTGACCACTGACCTGGACTGGGGCCCCATCTTTGCCTCCCTCAGCTTTGCACTTGACCCCTTCCCCTCCTGCTCCTTCCCTCTGGCCTCCTGGGTAGCACATGCTCAGCTCAAAGTTGCTCCTTCCCTGATTGCATCTGAGAGCTGGAAACACGATGCTGATTAATATGTCTGTGACTCTAGGCTTGGCTGCCAGGCCGGGTCCCTGTGCCCTCTCTGGAGCCCGGCAGGCTCCGCAAGCCGGCCCTCTGGCTTCTCCGAGAACACTGCGGGCAGATGCATATTTTAACAGTGCACATCTGTTGGCTATATAATCTCTTGTATTTGCCCTCCTCACTTGGTGCTTTGATGGAAGACCCCCGGGGGCCTCCCTCTGTTCCAGCCAAAGTGTTTGGTTTGCAATTTTGCCGGATACCATCTGATTCTGCTCTCACATCTTCTGCAGGTTCTAATCAGGCTCTTACTTTATTTAATTAAAAATCTATCTCAGGCAAATCCAAGCTAAATTAGGAAGTGCTCTCTTCCCTGGAACACAAGGAAGGCACCACCCTTGGGAAACTGGCTGGGACATTTTCCTGGGCTGAGATGTCACAGCAAAGCAGATGGGGTCTTGGTTGGGCAGCCAGTTGGGCCTTCAAGACCTCTCCCTGCTCTCGGAGCAGCCGCTATGTCCACCTGCTGCCCATAGCCCAGGGCTCTCTTTCCAGCTGTGGAGTTGGCTTCCCACACTGGGGCCTCCATCCAGGGCCAGCAGTGGGCAGGGAGTGGTAGAGAGGCTGGTAGGCAGTCAGGAAGCTCTTTCCTGCCTGGGGTTAGTCTGCCTAGTGTAAATAGTTTTTGCAGAGATTGTCTGAAAGGCTGACAGACAACATGTCTGTGTAGGCTCCCTTTCTGGCTCTCAGGGATCCCCCCGGGGGACCCTCCTGAGGCCCTGAAAACATCCCACTGCTTCCACCTGGTCTCCAGACTTGACTAAAACATCTCCTCCAGGCAAATCCAGCTCTGTACCCAGAGGGCAGTGCCAGGCCATCCTCTGGAGATGGGCGAAGCGTATGCCTTTCAGATGTGACCCAAAATTAAATGGAGTCTGCTCAGACTGGATCCAGAGCCCTGCTGTGAGAAGCCTGGCCCCTCACCAGCCAGACAGATGAGGCTCTACTGGCATTTGGGATGGAGACACTGGGCAAAGAGCACTGGTTTGGAGCTGAAAAATCTGCACTGCCTCTGCCTGTCTGAGCCTCAACTGTCTTGTCTATAAAAAGTTTAAAATAATTTGGACTTTCACAGTCTGGACTTTGTTACCTGACCAAGTGAGGAGAGAGGAAAGGAAATGTTAGGGGCAGGTGTGGCGTTAAGGACAACACACGTCTCCATCTATTTTGGGGCTCCTTGTCAAGCCAGAAGCATGGATGATGCTGGGGTTCCTCTCATCCTAGCATTCTCTGGCCCTGCCCAGCAAAGGCAGACAGGACTGAACCATCTCTGAAGATGAGGACCCTACAACTTTGCTTAGCAAGTGTTTTCTGGCATTTTGCACTCCTCAAAATCAGAAAAAACACATTAGTTTCTAAACACTTCCCCTTTCCTCCCTCAGCCCCCACAGCACACTACAGGCTCATCCCTGCTTTAGCCGCCACCTCGGGAGATGTGAACGTAAGGCACTCCCACCGCACCCCAATTCTCCTCTGAGGGGTCCCAAGTTATTCATCTGCTCGACGGGGTTTATTCTCTCATTCCTTTCATTGCAGGCTGGAGGAGACTCAAAGGTTGAAGGAGGTTTCTGAGGTTGGCCCCAAGTTCTTCCTCCCTGTCTTATGAAGCCAAGCTGTGAGCATGGTAAGTGGTCCTTGGGGGCCTGTCCACTGTGGCGCTTGGAATAACCTGCCTTGGTGTGTTTAGCCATGTAGATTTGAAGATAAGCTGACACATTCTTAAATATTTCATCTCTGAGCAGCCGTGTGCCTTATTTGCCAGGCGGGGAGGCACGTCCCAGCTGCTGACCCTGTCGTCAAACCTTCACAACAGCTGCTGAGGGCTAGCTGGGACTCTCCTCTCCTGGCTGCCCTGCTCGGCCCCCTGCCCATGCCTGCAGACTTGTGTACTAGGGGCTGGGAGGTAGTGCCAGGAGCCCTGGCTGGGAGCCCCTGGTCCCAGCCAGGCCCTTTGCATCTGTGCGCCTCAGTTTCTTACCTGGGGTAACGATCCCTACCCCAGAGTGGTGTCAGGGGCACCTGAGGTTGTATCTGAAGAGCTTGGAGAGCTGCTATAAACTGTGGGCCAGTGTGAGTGCTTGTCACTTGTGTGCACAGCCTGGCCCCCAGCGGCCCTGATTCTCAGTAGCACCTTGCTGGACAACGGGGCTGCAGGCTGAGCTTCATATCAGACCTAGGCAGCTGCAGAGGTCCCCAACCCCACATGCCTGCCTTTAGGCAGGATCTTCCAGGGTCAGTGTGCTCCCGGGAAGGCGAGATGAAGATAGACCCTGGGGAAAATGTGCAACTTGGAAGAGAAGGGGCTTGAAGTGGGCTTTCCTGGAGTGACCTGAGAGCCAGGATTCCTAGGGGGCAGCAAGGGGGGGAAGGCACAGAGGTCACTGCTGGTTGCCATGAAAACTAGGACCACGGGGGAATCAAGCTCCAGGCTGATTGTGCAGGGGAGGTGGACAGATAGGGTCTGTTAGCACCCCCGTGAGGTCAGTTCAGAGAGAAGGGTCCATGGCCGTGCTGTGTTCTTCCTGGCACAGCAGCCAGTCTGGACCATGTGTGCAGAGCATGCTTTTGGCGGATAAATAGGCACTTAGCAGCCCTTGTTAACTCCTGAGGGGAAACATCCGAGCTGGATGGAGTCATAGGTCTGTCAGCACTGGCCTCTGATTTCTTGGGAAGGGCCGTTTTTGGTGCCCTTTGGGAGGACACCAGGGGAGAAGCAGTAGATAAGCCCTGTGGGCTAATGCCCAGCAGGGATGCCCCCGGAGTCTCTGAGTGCAGATAGCACTTACCCAGGACCGTCAGGCGGGCAGGGCGGGAGCGGATGGCAGCCTGGATGGCCTGGCACTCGTACACAGCGTCATCCTGCAGCTCTGCCCTCAGAATCTTCAGGTGGTGCTCTCCGGACAGGTGGTTCCCCACCACCAGGTACTGTGGGTAGCCTGTGAAGACAGGGGCGGCTCAGAGGATGGCTGGGCAGGCAGCACTTAGGCCGATCTCAGCACAAGAGTCTTCCCAGGGCACTGGGAAGTTGTGTGTGTGTGTGTGTGTGTGCACATGTGCAAGTGTGTGCCTGTATGCACCTGCGTGTGCAAGTGTGTGTGCATGCACATGTATGCACGTGCATGTGTGTGTAAGGCTGTTGTTGGCTTTGTGTTTAGTTAACAGTGTGGGCAGACACAGCCAGGCTACCTGGGAGATGTGCACTCTGGTAAGAAGGTGTGGAGAGGGGTGAGGGGAGGGAGAGACCCCTGCTAAGAAGCACAGAACAGATAGTAAGAGAGAGGAAGAGAAAAGGGAAATGTTTAGAAAGCAATCAGTGACTTTGGGAAAGTCTTGTTTCCAAGAGGAAGAAGGTAGAAATCTTAGCCCACCTCCAGCATCTGTGGTCTGAGGCCACTCTGAGCTGTGCCTGGCCCTGGTGTGGTTGTTCCTGCTGCCCACTCCCAAGCCCCAGGGCCTGACTGAGCACTTAAGAGGTACTCAGGAAATTCAGGAATTTGGGGCCCCTTATACCACTGGCAATGAATAATAGATAAATAAAAGTTTGAGAATGATAAATCATTAATCAGCTTTCTTGCTGCTGTGTAGGGCTGAATATAAATGCCAACTTTGGTGGTGGCTGGCCAGGTGGGGCAGAACTCTTTGATGGGTCTCTGGCCCTAAACCTTCTCAGCTTCTCCCCAGAGGAGCCCTTTCTGTGCAGCCCTCAGTGAACTCCACCTCCCCCTGCTTCCTACCCCGTGGATCTTTGGTGAGGGGACCCCTTCCTCCCAGTGCCATCCATCCTCTCCTCAGAGGCTTTCCTCCACTCCCACCCCCTCCAGCAGCCCCAGATTGCTGCCCCTTCTGCTGGACTTTGACATGCACAGGAGGGCAAGATCAGAACATTTGACCTTTTAAAGAGAGGATGAAGCTTGAGTAAGTGAGAGAGAAACAGGAGGGAGACTGGGAGACACCCTGGAGCTCTAAGTTTGAGTGAGGTGTGTTGACCACCACACCTGAGGATTGCGCTGGCTCCAGGCACAGTCAACAAGGGAAGCACTTTAGAATATGCTTAATTATTTGAGGTGTGCAGCAAGGGTCCAGGCTGCCAGAAATAGCAGTGAGGTCCCTGTCCCTGGCTACTTTAGGCAGGGGCTGAGAGATCATTGCTCAGGGCACTTCAGAGGCAATTTCTGTAGTGCAATAGGAGAGCTCAACACCTGCCCCCTCAAGCTAAGGGTCTTGCAGTGGTGGGGTGGCCTCCCCAGGGCGGTGGAGGAGGCTGTGGCCATTGCCAGCCTTCAGCTGAGCCTTCAGTCTCACGTCTTTATGGCCACCACTGTCCTCACCATACAATCAAATGGCCCTGCTCTCTCTAGCTGGGTAGGCCTAGCCAGAGCTGCCCACAGCATCAGCTGTCAACCTGAGAGTACTGCGTGTCCTCCAGGCCTCCCCTCTGCCCTCTGCTGGGCTCTGGGATGGAGCCCAGGTAAGAGAGCTGGTCCCTGGGCCGGGTGGAGGCTGGAGGCTCCAGTCCAGTACTCTCCCTTCTGCTGCCCCAGCTCTGGACCCTGCTGTCCTGGGATTAGCCCTGGTCTGCTGCAGGCATCTTGGTTGGAGCTTTTGTTTCTGTTGTCTTGAAAGCGATCAGCAGTGGGACTCTGCTCTCAGAGCTGCTGGAAGCAGCAGTGATGGGTTTGTTTGTATTTGCCTAATCAGGTGGCCAGCTGCGTTGCTATCCAGAGGAAGGCAGCATATTTGCAAAACATAACTCAGAAGTGGGCAGTGTCTGTGGCTCAGTGAGTAGGGCACCAGCCCCATATACCAAGGGTGGTGGGTTTGAGCCTGGCCTCAGCCAAATTGCAACAACAACAAAAAATAGCCAGGGGCTCTGGCAGGCACCTGTAGTCCCAGCTACTTGGGAGGCTGAGGCAAGAGAATCGGCTAAGCCCAAGAGCTGGAGGCTGCTGTGAGCTGTGACACCATGGCACTCTACCGAGGGCAACGAAATGAGACTCTGTCTCTAAAACAAACAAACAAACAAACAAAAAACACCCCAAAAAACATAACTCAGAAGTGTAGATTCCGGGGAAGTTCTAGCCCTTTCTACAGTATCACCATTCTCTCCTGGTACTCCCCAAATTGTTTAGAGTCTGGGTTCCACAGTCATATCGCCTGGGTTCCAATGCCAGTGTGATGAACTGCTTCAATGTCCTTGTGCCTCAGTTTCCTTGTTGATAAAATGGGGACAATGCTAGTGCCTCAGAGGGTGATGGTGAAAGTTAAATAGAATAATGTATGCACAGTGCCAGCATGCAGAGTGGACTGTAAATGCCAACGTAAATTCAAACAAGGGTGCATCATAATGTAAGGTGGCCCGAGAAGTCTTCTTCATCGTAAGGGAGGGCAACAGGGCACCTGGGCCCTGTGGGGTTGAGTATTAGAGTCAGATGCATTTGGATTGGTTATGTAATTGAGTTAATTTCTCTCTTTCTCTCTCTTTTTCTTTTCTTTTCTTTTTAAATTTTTTTTTTGGGATATAGAGAGAATCTCACTCTGTTGCCCTGGGCAGAGTCCTGTGTTGTCATCATGGCTCACGGCAACCTCGAACTCCTGAGCTCAGGATCGGTTCCTGTGCTCAGTGGTTAGGGCACGGGCCACATACACTGAAGCTGGTGGGTTCAAACCCGATCCGGGCCTGCTAAACAACAATGACAACTGCAACCAAAAAATAGCCAGCCATTGTGGTGCCCGCCTGTAGTCCCAGCTACTTGGGAGGCTGAGGCAAGAAAATCGCTGAAGCCCAAGAGTTTGAGGTTGCTGTGACCCGCAATGCCACGGCACGCTACTGAGGGCAACAAAGTGAGACTCTGTCTCTAAAAACAAACAAACAAACAAACAAACAAACCTCCTGCACTCAAGTGATCCTCCTGCCTCAGCCTCCCGAGTAGCTAGGACCACAAGAACCTACCACGACTCCTGGCTAGTTTTTCTATTTTTAATAGAGATGGAGTCTTGCTCTTGTTCAGGCTGGTCTCAAACTCCTGAGCTCAAGCCATCCCTGCCTCCACCTCCCAGAGTGCTGGGAAAACAGGTGTAAGCCACCATGTCCCACTGGTCTGTTTTACTCTCAACTGTAATTTTTTTTTTTGAACCTTCTTTTCCCCCTCCAGGTCACTATAGATTTTTGAGATTGTGTCTGAGAAGTACTTGAGATTTTCAGAAGAAAAATAGTCTATCAACAGGAGGGACTGTTTTTGTAAATAATTTCCTTTGACTGAAAGGCACCTAGGTCTTCAGCAAGGGTATTATTCCTGGCAGATCCTATGGGCTGCACAGTTAAAATGGGAAAGGACAGAGAGGCAGCAGGCTGAAGTCTAGCAGCACTGGGCCTCAGTTTCCCTGTATGATAACTTTTGTAGTATTAAGTGCTCTGTATAAGGCTGGGCATGGTGGCTGATGCCTGTAATCCCAGCACTTGGGAGGCCAAGGTGGGTGTATTGCCTCAGCTCATAGGTTTGAGACCAGCCTAAGCAAGAGCAAGACCCCATCTCTAAAAATAGCCAGGCGTTGTGGCAGGTGCCTGTAGTCCCAGCTACTTGGGAGGCTGAGAAAAGAGGATCAGTTGAATCCAAGAGTTTGAGGTTGCTATGAGCTAAGATGCCATCGCACTCTACCAAGGGTGACAAACTGAGACTCTTTCAAAAAAAAAAAAAGTGTTCTGCAAATACTTGCTGAGTCGAGCTGAGTTCTGTTATGCTTACTTTCTCATCAGGCAAGCAAGCAATATTGACTAAGCATGTAAGTATCTCTCGTGACTGCCATGATGCTATTTTGGGGGGCAGGTGATTAAATACAGGGCATAAACTCCTTTCTCTGGAGCTTGAGTTCATTGGCTCTGCACGGAGAGGGCCACCCAAGTCAGGCTGGGCAGGAAGCAGACCTGAGCTCCTGACAGGCCACTGTCCTTCAGCACTGAGCAGGCCCCAATCTCAGATCCCAGGAGCCATTTGTGGAACTGGAAGCCAGAGGGTCAGTTCTCCAGGCCATGATGACCACTCTATGCATGATCTTTGGTGAGATGGGGCTCCTCATGGCCGCTGACCCAACAAGACCCCTGTGTCTGACTGAGGCTGAAACTCACTGGCCAGAGACCAGACAGCCTCCTTAACTGGCGCCAACGCCCAGCCGTGCAAACAGCCTTCCAGTGCTGCGCGTAGTTCCAGCTTGGGAAGGCCATTTCATTTCCCCAGTTTCTCTGGGGTAAGGGAGTGCAGAGTCTCTAAAATTGGCTGGTTCCCATAACACTTAAACATTATGGCAGCACAGTATATTTGGGGGTTATTATTGTGTATTTTATCCATGCTCAGCTGGGCTGCAACATTCAAACCCTGAGACTGCTATTGACCACTGCTATAATGTTTCAATATACATTTTTGGCAAGACATAACTCACATTTTAAAATATTAATTTCCCAAGCATCATGTTCCCGAGTGCTCTTCGATTTTTATTTTCCTGCAGTTGTACACCACGAGAGAGAAGTTGTAATACTTCTCAGTTGAGTCGTATTTTTTCTTTCTCCTCCACCCTTAGCCATTCCCAAGTCATAGGGCAACGGCACCCAAGATTGTGCCGAGCCCAGCAAACACTCTGGTGCCAGCTCTCCATGGGGAGAATAACGAGGGCTGGAGCATGAGGGACCACGGGGACCATTCCATTCTTTTTTTGTCCCGGGGACAGGGTGGATTGGAGAGGCGTCTGGATGGGCTTATGGGCTCGCCATTCACAATAGTTACCAAATGTGGTGGCGCCAAGCAGTGAGCTGGCGTGCCAGCCACTGGTGGCCTTGGGGCCCCTGCCGGGCAGCCTTGCTGAACACCAGCCTGGGTGAGCAGCACAAGCTCTGGAGTTTAGTTCAGGGATGTCCTATCTTTTCTTCCCATCACATTATGACCCCTAAGATTCCAGGTTTCATGTGACTTTTCAGTATACTTGGCTCCCATGAATGGGTGGGAAGCCCGGAAGCACCAGGCTGTGACTTCAGTGTCCTTAATTATCATGCCTTGTCGAGTGGGGGACACATTTTGGACCCAAGATGCAGGAGCACTTGATTTCTGGAAACCAGACTTCATGGGAATCATGTTTGACTTTGGAGAAAACTCTCGGGGCAACATTGCGTTAGGTTTGGAACCAACTGTAGGATGTTTGTTACTTCTGGTTGGGGGCCCTCAGAGTCCTGGGGACCCTGGACTCAGGGCTTGACTCTGGCCAGGGGAGCTGCAGAGGAAGCTGGGGCTCTGATCCCCAACCAGCTGGGAAGCTAGGAGTCCCTGGGGGGCGGGTGGATGGGTAGGTACTCACTTGAGAGGTCCCTGCCCACGCCCAGAGCCAAGCCATCTTTGATCCACAGAACAAAGCCGTCATATTCGGGAATGGCACACAGCAGCGTGACAGGCTGTCCAGACACCACCACCTGGTCCTGGGGCTGCTGGCTGAAGGAGTAGACTTGGCCTAGGAGGGAGACAAGTACACATTCAGCCAGGTGCAGCAGCAGTGGCAGAGGGCTTCTCTCCAGTGGAGGCAGGGCTGAGGCTAGCCCAGAACAGGCCTCTGCCCAGCTCTGCCAGCTCCTGTCCCAATTGCAGCTGCCCTGTTCATCAAGCCTGACACCATCAAGCCCTGACACTGTGCTGGTCCAGCCACACCCCAGCTCTCCAGGGGCTATCACCTGCCACCCTTGGGACACGCTGCTCCTCTTTCACTGAGTGAAGGCCTTGTTAATGCCCCTTGATCTCTTAATCAAGGGGCATTAACCAGGCAGATGGGCAGATGCAGGAGAGGAGCCCCCAGTCCGAGGGTAAGAGGGCAGGGTGGGAGTTGTGTAGTTTCTATCATATTGTTGTCTTAGTGGCCCCACAATGGGCCCAGGGCCAAATTCAGGGGGCAGGAGAGGCTCAGTGTGGCTGGAGGTGGAGGGGCAGGTGGGCAGGTTCCAGCTTAGACTCCCTGTCACCTTCTGGTCTGCAGCAGTAGGGGGTGAGCTGGGGTCCATCTGAGTTCTGAGCCCTCCTGTGTTCCTAGCCCTGCCTGTGAAGATGCAGACCTAACTATGGTCAAACTGGACGGAGGGGCAGTGTGGCTGCTGCCCCCATCTCTGCTCCCCGGTTGGGAGAGTCAGCTACAGAGCTCAAGGACACTGGCCACTACCCATTGTAGGACACAACACCCGAGGCCCAGACCACCCACAGGATGGGCGCTCAGCAGCAGATGTCCCTGGAAGGGATGTCAGTGAACAGAGAGAGGGGAGCTGGGTGCAGGTCACAGAGCTGGGCACAGACTCCTAGGAGGGGATACAGTCGGCACAGAGAATGGTAGGCAGGAAGGTAGCTGAGTTCACAACCTGGTAAGATCTTGGCAGGGTCTCTGAGGAGTTTCATTAAAAATCAAATTGGCCTTGAGTTGTGGGGGTAACACTTTTTATTCTGATTTGAGCTTTACAAATTAGATTTTATAGGACATTTTAATAAGCTATGTATGGTGAGTTTTTTCCTCTCTCTGTCTCTTCAAGTTCTCTGTTGTAATTACATTGTTTCTGGCACCAAAACAGGACAGAAAAGGAGGGAAGAGGAGAAAGAACAGAGAAGTGAAGAGCTGGGGGGAGAGGGCTGAGAGGGGAGGGGCAGTGAGGGGACTACACCAGACAGGACGCCCAGGCAGATCAGGGTGCTGGGTCAGCAGGGAGGGCCCATTCCCCCAGCCTCCTTTCTCTTCCTCTAATTATGACTTCACAGCTCATTTTTTTTTTAATCTCAAAAGTCTTTCTTGCAAGAAGGGCAAAGCCCAGGCAGCCACAGAAGCTGCCAAAGATGGTGCCACCAGACAGCAGTGTCAGGATGTCAGCGGGGGCTGGAGGTACACAGGGAGAAGGTCCTGGAAATGGCCATTATCAAGGAGTGCCTGCTGTGGGTGGCTGTGCCCCTCCAGTCCTGCTTCCCCGGGAGGAAGAAGCAGGAGGGAGTGGGTGAGGACATGGAGAGGTGGGTGAGGACATGGAGAGGTGGGTGCAGGAGGCTTCCCAGGGCTGGTGTGAGCACCACCGGTTGGTGTCCTGAGGGAGGAGGGGCTGCACCATGGAATCAGGCTGGGAGGTGGACTCTGGGTGGCCACAGTGCCATTGCGGAGGGTGTCCAAGAGCCAGGAGTAGGGCAGACCTGGGTCTACAGGAAAGGGGCCAGAGGGCGGGGGCAAGGCAGATGGGGGCCTGAGTGGAGGGGGTCTCCCCATGGGGTGGGGTCTGAGCAGGCTGGGGGCACACCGCCCACTGCCACCACCTGAAGGCTTTCATCTTCATGCTTTGTCTGCTTGGACCCACTGGGCTTCTCTGTGGGAAGGATGTTTCTGGGGGGATGATACACTGGAAAGTCTCAAACAAGCACCCACAAAACATGATTGGCAAGTCACTTTTAGTGAGGGGGGATAGTTAGTATCCGAATTGACAATTTTCCTTTTCAGTCTAATTTTAACTTTTGTATATTAAGTTTAAGCCACTAAAATTACCTTTTTAGGAATAATATTCTTTTTCTAATGGATCTTGGACTGAGTGTCACTAGGTGTCTAGAGTGGATCAAAGTTGAGGTAAAGGGATGGGTCCACTCTCTGCTCCTGTGGGGGCAACCTCCAGGCGCTCCTGGGAGCTCAGCCTGCAGGCTGGGGAGGCAGGTGGGCACCAGAACGCTGCTCCTCCCAACCCACACGACCTGCTCTCTTTCCTCTGTTTTCTTTTTCTTTCTTTCTTTCTTTTTTTTTTAAAGAATAAATGCAAAATTTTAATAGCATCTCAATTTTGCAAAGCACTTCACAGTTCATGAAATACTTCTACAAACATTATTTCAATTTGATTATCACAATAACCCTATAAGGTAGGGAGAGCAGGATTCACATTCTAACATTACTTGTGTGTGCACAGCACGTTTGTAGAGTGGCTGCCTAGGTTTACACAGATAGTAGAGTGGAAGGTCAGTTGAAGAGTTTTAAGCGTTTCCACACAGCGTTTTTTTTTTAATGGCCACAAGGGATATTTATTTATTTTTAAATTTTAGGTTAATTTGGGTGGTGTCTGTGGCTCAGTGAGTAGGGCACTGGCCCCATATACTGAGGGTGGCAGGTTCAAACTTCAAATAGCTGGGCGTTGTGGCGGGGGCCTGTGGTCCTAGCTACTCAGGAGGCTGAGGCAAGAGAATCACCTAAGCCCAAGAGCTAGAGGTTGCTGTGAGCTGTGATGCTACAGCACTCTACTGAGGATGATGAGTGAGATTCTGTCTCTAAAAAAAAAAAAGAAATTTTAGGTTAATTTGAGGGCACAAAGAATTAGGACATGTGCACCAGCTTGTTTATTGCAGCTCAATTTACTATCACCAAGATGTGGAAACAACTTAAATGCCTGTCAACCCAGGAATGGATTGTGATATGTGTACTGTGGAATACTATTTAGCTATGAACAAGACGGTGACTTTACATCTTTGTATTTGCCTGGAGAGAGTTGAAACACATTTCTTAGCAAAGTATCACAAGAATGGAAAAGCAAGACTCCAATGTCCTCCATATTAACATGAAGTCAGTAGATGATCTAATGCCCACCCACATAAGAGAAAAACTCTATTCAACTCAAGGGAGGGAGGAGGAGAAATGGGAGAGAGGGGAGGAGGGAGGGAGATGAGTGGGCTCCCAACTAATGGGCACAATGTGGGGTATATGGCACACCTCCTGGGGGCAGGACACAACTACAACAGGGATTCTACCTAACAATTGCAAACATTGGAATCTTTTCCCCATTTTCTTTACTACTCCAAAGAAGTGAGCATGAATGAGCCTGGGTTCATTTTCTATGACGGCCAGCTGAGTGGAATCTGAGATCTGAGGCAGACAGTAAGCTCCTTGGACATCTGCTTATCCTGCACTCCCATTGAGACCTGCTGCGAGGGGCCTGTTGTGTTATCTTGTTAGCAGCAGGGAGCTGGCCTGCCCCACACTCTGGAGCCCAGGGCTGTGTGTACAGAGTCGGTGCCTCATGCACTCAGGCCCTGCTCTCACTGACTCAGCACGCCTACGCCTCCCCAGGCTTCCAAACCACTTTCCCCTTTCAACCACTACATTCTCCTGGTGGGAAGTCCTATAGTCAGTGCCCCTTTCCATGCTTTATTTTTTTAATTTACATTTTTTAAACAGATAGGGTCTTGCTCTGACACCCAGGCTAGAGTGCAATGGCACAGTCTCAGCTCCCTGTAACCTTGACCTCTGGGGCTCAGGCTATCTTCCTGCCTCAGCCTCCCCAATAGCCAGGACTACAAGTGTATGCCACTGTGCCTGGCTAATTTTGTTTTCCTGTAGAGATGGGGTCTCGCTGTATTGCCCAGACTGGTCTCGAACTCCGAGCTGAAGTGACTCCTGCCTCAGCTCCCAGAATGCTAGGGTCACATAGCTTCTCCATCCCCACTGCTGCTGTCCAAGTCCAGGGCCTTGCTGCCCAGTGCTGTCCTCGCTGAGCCCACTGCACCTGCTGCCACGGGTTTTCTTCTTAAATCACCACTTCCTTGTGTCTCTCCCATTTTTAAGGAGCGGGACCTCTCATGGCTCCCCACTGTGTCCAGGTAGCACCCAGCCCCTAGCCTGGACAGCAAGCTTCTCCAAAATCTGGCCCCTGAGCTGGCTGGTCACTAATGTTAGTCCATTGCCCTGGCTATGCCTTCTACCCCAGCCTCCCTAAGCAGCCCCACCCACCCATCCCTGAAGGCCCAGGCAGCTTCTGCATCCCAGAAGGGAGATTTTCTCCTTCTCCCTCCCCCACACCCTTGTTTTCCCTCCTTTTCATCCGGCTTCATTTTTCCAGGTCCTTACTGAGCACCTCCTATATGTCAGATGCTGAAGAAAGAAAATAAAGAAACAGTGCATGCTTCCTGAGGGCAGGGCCAGGGCTGTGTCTATCCCGTGTTCCCAGTGGCTAGCCCGTGAGTGGATGCTGAATCCACCTCTGCAGAATGTGCTTGCACTTGTAGCCCCCTGCTCATCCATCTCCTGACATCTGTGGCCGCAGAGGAAAATGGCTTTTGCATGTGAATGACTGAGCAGGTAGGTATTGTGCTGAGCACACCCAGGAGGATAGGTGAGGATGAAAGGGAAGGGCCAGGATCTCACAGAGGTAAGTTTACAGGAGAAAAAAGGACAGGGTTATTTGTGGGGGACCCACTGATGCCAGCCCTTTGAATGGACACGTCTCTGGAATGTGCTGTTATTACCCGTATTTTACAGATAAATTAAAAGCTCACAGAAATGAAGGGCCCGTCCGAGGTTGCATGGTCAGCTCAGGTGTCAAACCCATGTGTCTGGTGGCAACCATGTTTGCTCACCACTACCCCAAGTTGGCTGTTGAATAAAGGGTCTTAAACCTGGTTTTCAATTCTCTAATGAGTAGTCGCCCTCCTAAGCAGGCAGTCTGCTCAGCTTGAAAGAGGATC